TAGCTTGGTACAGCTCCCCAATAGTTAAGAGATTAAGCCTGGTTAAATTTAACATATTCATCAAAACCTCATTATCCAATGACATCTTCCTAAAAAATAAACAAAAGTCTCATTAATACTAAGGCTGTCAAAGTGTAGTCGACAGCCCTGCAGCAAGTCAGTATAAGCATATGGCTTTGTGATCATCATCCTTTCCATAATATGCTGACTGCTCACATACTTTACAGCAATAAAGGACAAATGAAAACAGAGAAATCAAACAGAATTTGCCACCACAGAAATTAGGTTTGGCAGAAAAGCAATGCAAAAAAACAGACTGTGTAACAAAATGGCTTACTTTTCAGTGCTCCCATTTTCAAACCTCAGTCCCAAAGTTTCCATTTGCTAAGCTAATTAAGAACAAAAAAGACAGGAAAGGTGCACAGTTTTAAACTCCTTTCTGATTTTTCACAAATTCATATGGCTAACTGTAACTACAATTAGCCTACACATTCTGTTTACACAGATATATGAAACCAAGGCTTTCAATTCTATTCTCAGCATACTGCATTTTGTCAAGTTAAAAGAGATGGCTAGTACTATTCTTATTATTTACAGTATTGTAGTAACTCGTTGTGTGTTTTCAATTACATTCTTCCTTTTTATTTGATACAGAGCTTATCCTTATCCTTGTGTGTTTGATCAAAACCCACACTGGAATGTGTAATTGAGCTCTCTCCCAGAACCTTAAAGGGACTTTAAGGGCCATTTCCAACCAGAAATATTACTCTACTTTCAAAAACCCACCAGAACTCTAATGGCTAAATATAGACTCAAAATGCATCCCTGTCCTAACGACTCAGTTTACAAACCACACAGGGGAGTGAGCCTCTGTTTTGTTATTTTTCTTCAAGGAATAACCATAGCACTTCCCCCTTTATGTCGTATATCTAAGGACCACATAAAAACCTCTTCATTCAAAGGGCAGCCCAAGTAATTATAAAACACATGTAATATATAAAACAAGAGCTTGAAGTTGTTTCCTCTGGGGAAGGGAAAGAACTGATGTTGGCAGTTTTTTAAAAAGATTACATAATACAGTTGGTAGACACAGGAATATAAAATACTGGTAAATTACTGGCACTGGGGCATTTACGCATTTCATGCTAAGGATGGAACCATCCTCATTATTAATTAATATAATTGATTAATATCAATACAAAACCAAGTTATTATATTATTTATTATAACTATAACGTTGTTCAAAAATTAGTTAAATTCATATTGTGGCGAGTATGAATAAAATGTAATGCAATTTAAAAGTCATGACAGAGCCACCCACTTTTGTGTTAACCCAAAACTGTATTCATGGACACAAACAACTATAACTATATTTTTCTAACATATGAGGACTTCAATAAGAGTGTCTATTAGCACAACTGCCTCACTAGTCCAAGGTAGAGGCAGTGCAGTTTTTCATTTGGAGGATTTATTCAGGTAGAAGAATCAGATGGAATCACTGAGAAAATTGAAGATAAAGCCTGGAGCAAAAACTGCATTTGATGTTCCTCGGAATGCTTGACTCCTTTTCACAGTCTTGTCTTCCTTTTAAAGAAGACTGTAGGGCAAGAAGAGGATTAACTGCAAAAAAAAATATATGCGCTAAAGCTTATGCTAACTTTGTTCTTTTGCTCTCAGAGAGGGAAATAAAACAGCTTTTAAATCTGATGTGAAGACGCATCTGTGCTCTTTCATGAAACAATACTATTTATCTATATCAAAAAGTCCAAGTTGTGAAATTACTTCACAAGCAACAGCTAGAAGAAAATACTTGAAGCTTTATTGTGAACCTTAGGCTACTTTGTAAAGTTCTGCTCAGTTTCTCAATACTTGGTTCAGCTGTGATTTTTATTGGCTATAATCCTTATTTCTAGATGAAAACCACAGAAATAAGAGATCATCCTGCATGAAACAACTGTGCTTTCATATTAGAGTCTCACTCCTGAGAAGGTCCAGAAGCAAAAAAACCATTGATTTTAACAGAAAAAATATCAGAAGTGTGTTTTCCAAAAATATTAACATTGGACCGACGCAGCTTTGAGTAAAATGTTGAGTGTGCAACTAGTTTCATACACTCAGTTCTTTCTTTTCTGGTCAGCATGTGAAAGCATGTGTCCAGCCCAGTGCTTGCAACTCCAATTTTACAGAGGTGAGTACTGTCATATCCACCCACTTTTTTCTTTCTTTCAACAGAGGATGAACTTAACCAGACTGGTACAAAAACCTATTGTAGAACTAAGAAATCTAAATCTACCCCTCCAACTCAAAGATCAAATTTTGTCAATGACAAGATTAGCTTTTACGTGTTTTTTTTTTAATACTGAATCACATGCAATATCACAGAAAAAAAATAAAAGTGACTTAAACAAAAAAATTCTGTGACTCTACAAAATATCGCAGGCACATTTTTATGAATGTATAATGTTAAGTGAAAGAGGGGTCTAAGTCGTTTGTTTTTTAATGCATTTTATTACACTACATTAAATAACATAGCTGCATGCATAATAAAAAATAATTTTGTAGCATAATAAAAAATAATTTTGGAGCATTTTCAACATTTGACAGTGATTAATCTGTAATCTGTAATGTAAAATTAATTTTAAAAATATAGGTGCTTAAAATAATTTTTCAGGTTCGAAAAAAAATGATCCCATATGAACGCTGCTTTATCAAAAAGCATTAAAACTGAAAAGACGTTTGATAGGTGTCCTTAATCTTTACCTGTCATAGCTGTAATGTTTCATTATGCTCCATAGAGAGAGGGCCCAGAAATTGGGGCCTTAAAGATCCATGACTTAACGTCATTCTTCATCACTAAACACACTGAACTTCAGTCTCTCTGGGTGTTGCTTCAAACAGGTTTTAGTCAGCAGCATATGCAATCTTTCATCAGAATGTAATATTCCTAAATGAGTTACAATTACCAAGATATAGTCTTTTAAATAATTTAATTGTCTGACAAATTAATTCATGTTTTTTATAATTTATACTTCTTTATTCAGTTGTGTATTTTTGGCTGAAATACCTACAGCAGCAGTTTCTCATCTGGGATTTGAACCCACAGCCTTCCAATTAGGAGTTCAGGGTTGCTAACCACTTCTCCCACAGTTACCTTCCATGTTGCCATTTAACTAGTAGTAAACTGTCGTTTAAAAAACACTAAACCCACACATCAACACCTGCAATGAGTTCATAATTTACATAACTGGACAAAAGCAATCAAATCTAGACTAGCACAGACACCACCACTATCTCACATCTCCTATTCCTGTATGTGTGAGGTTACCAAGCCCTAACCTTTTTTTTCCCCCATCTCAATTTAAAGTTTATTTTATTCATAAGTTTAAATTTGTCTCCAAAAAAATCAAAGGACACTTGGAACCTTTGAGGTTACAAAAAGCACAGCTCTCCAAAAATCATTCTATTAAAATTCCAATTTAAAATATTGACTCTTTATAGACACCAAATTCTTGCATTAGCTCACCACATATCTGCAGTTCACTACAAGATAAATCAAAGTAATGTACAATTAAACTTACTCAAGGGCTATGTTTACAAGTTTCAGAGCAAAGGGATGAAGGAAACTTTCAAAGCAATGCATTTTAAAACTATTACAAATGGTAAACGTTATTCTGCAAATGCTTAGAAATTACCTCTTCTACTAAATTTAGGTCGGCAAAGTCTATAACTGATCGGAAATATTATTTCAAAAACGTTTTCTAGCAACATCTTATTGAGAGCTTATTTTTTATTAAAACAATCCTAAACAACTGTAATGTGTTATACTTTGCTGAAACCGTTACACATAATACTGTAACTTACAGTATATTTTCATTAAAAAAAATCACCTGTAATTAAAGGATTCGAGGCAGACGGGTACATAAAGTTACTGATTACTTCATACTGTAGCCTATGGTGCACTCATTTCTAGAAAACTGGCATATTAATGTAAATAAAACTGATGCTTCAGCAGACAATGGAGCAGTGAACCAGAATAAACACTGAAGTTGCTTCTTCTATGTACAGTAGGCACGTATCCTATCCAAGTAAAATTACATCACTGTGCTGTTGTCCAGATTTGCAATGTCTTTGATGTATCTCCTATTACCGTACACTGTAGTACTTGTTACGTGTCCTTCGTTCATTCAAAACACACATTTGCTAGTTTCATTATGGACTCAAAGCATTCATCATTTCAGATCAGAACGAAGACAAACAAAAGTAGGTGAAGTGCTGGGAATTAGTAGCTTAACGTCTATGGATGTACATGATCACTGATATTCCAGCTCTTATTATTATCGGTAAATAGGATATGGTTAAATTAATCATCATACTTGTAAATGTAAACACCTTTTAAGCTACAGTATATCATACATTTTAAGTTTACTTTAAAATCACAAGCTTCCCCTTTTACTCTAATCCTAAATTTAAAATGAGGTCGAAATGCATTCCAGAGATAGCATGGATCTTTGTAAAAAAAAGGACATTTGAAAGGAAGCACGCAAAAAAGCGTTTTTCGTCTGTTCTTTCACGAACATTAATACCATATCACATTATAAAGGGCGCAGAATAAAACATCTATTCTCTGCAACAGACAGTGAAAGAACCAAGAACCCCATCAACATAATTAAAGTTTGACATTCAAAGCGTCCAAACTTACAACATACAGTATAACTATAAGACGTTCAAATTAAGTTGATAACATATGTTTAAACATGATAAGACGTCGCAGATATGTTATCTCCGGGTTGTTTGCTGTTTTTTTTTTGCAACACTGTAATAATGTAACGCTGATAGTAATAATATTATTATTATTAAATGCGAGTAGTAACAGTCTTTCACTTATTGTGGCATAAACTGAACGGCTCGGCTCTTCATGTTACGCGTATCACCCAAGCAACAGTCAAAACTTTCCCCCTTAAAGGAGACTTAAATAGCCATGTTGAGCTATTAAAACTTACCCTTTCCCCCGTAATAAAGGACGCCAGGACGACAGAAAAGATTATCCAAACGTTCCTCATAATTCCTTTGACAAATGAGCGTTGCTGGAAACAAAACAAAAACAAAATCTCTCTCCTGTACAATTCCTCCAAGCACGGCGATTCGTGTACTTCTGCTCCCCACTTGTTTGTTCCTCTCTCTCCCACTATTCTCTCTCTCTTTCTGGAATCCCACCGGATACGTGTTGCTTTTTTTTATTCCTCCGCGCACTTTTTTTTTTCTGGTCAAACCGCACACTGAGCATCAGTTTAGGGATATTAAACAAGCCCTAGTCATTCTCACTTCCTCACAGAGCGTCGAAAAGTTTTCTTAGTATGAGCTTTTTCCTTTTGTGGTGGTGGTGGTGGGGGGGGGTTGTTTCTTTGTGACAATAAGTCCATTAAGCTAACATGTGCAAAGCCATAGCACGCAGTGTGTTGCTGAGCTCGGAATGCGACGCCTACAGCAGAAAGAACAGAAGAAAAGGAGATCTTCTCAGTGATTGACAGATGCCCTGACCAGATGCATGCATCACGCATCGGGGAGAGACGGTTTTTTAAAAAACTTGTAAATACTAAAATGACTCCTGCTATTAATAAGCAGGGAGAAAGCTGAGCTGCAGCTTGCCTCACTTCAATGTTTCCTCTAATGTGTCGCTTAGTCGTGGTATTGGCTTTTCAGAATTCAGGCTGAAGCACTTTATTTTTTTTTATTTTTCTTTATAGAGGCTCTTATAATAATGTACATGTAGTTCCAACCAAAAAAGTCGCCCCAACAACAAAGACATGATTTCATCATAACACCCTGCCAAGTGGCGAGATATGATTCCTTTGTTGTTTTTGCAGAAAGGTTTAAACGATTAACGTGTCGGTGTCGAGATTCGTTTTTATGGTTTGGTTAATAATGCAGTTTGTAAATCCATCTTTACCAAACAAACGATAGCTGGAAAGCCTGCTGTTGGCGAGGGCAAACCTGATGCTGAAAGAAGTTGTTACTCCACAAAACCTTTTTCGTTTAAAGCAACAGGTGGGGTCATCTGCCTTTGGGAAATATCATCCCGCAAAGGATATTTTATTCTTAAATTCAGGTTTGGAAATGTTAAAATTATAAAAAATATTGTTTTTTTGTTCTTGTTTGTACTGTTCAACACAACTAAATTCAGATGAGTTTTAATAGTATTAAGCATCCTGAGCGTTCTGATCTTATTTGGTTATCAGATTGTGTCTCCACCTAGTGGTTACTGGAAGGCTAAAGTTTGAGCCGAGAGTGAGCGTGGAAAATCAGTTAAAAATAATTGGAATCCACTTTCTTATCGCTCGTGTTATGACAATGTAAACGATAGGCTGATGAATTAAGATATCTGACCCGTCGTCAGTAAACGCACATAGGTTAGGGTTTGGAAGGAACAACGGTTTTAACTTTTAAAACCGAACCAAAAAAATCCATAAGCATAAACATCAGACGAATTACTAGGCAACTATGCATTAAGTTTGTACTTTTAAGTTATTTTCCCATTTCAAGACAGCAATAAACGTAAATATTAAGTGAGTAAATTAGTTATCCCAGTTCTCATGTTTTCATCCTATTTCTAACACCAAAGTTTTAAAAGACAGTCTGGGGAATTGAGGGGTAACTGGCTGGCATTTTCGAACAGGTCAGTTGAAGATAACTCCACATGTACATGTGGAATTTCTATCAAGGCAGGCCTGTGATGCCCTGAATGTCAGTGGCAGGGGGTGTGATGGGACTCCCAGCAGGTAGTACTGTATGTGAGGGAGTTGTAACACCTCACTCCTGTCTAACAAGATTTCACTTGGATGGTGCCCCAGATCATTCAGTGTTCAAAGCAAAGGTGCAAAGTGGAGTCAAAGCATCATATCTCTGATGTACTGTACCTTCTAGCCCACAGGTAGAAAGCTGATATAGCCTATGATAACAAGGAAATAAGTGTATCTAACATCACTTTTAGCATGTCGAACAGCCTGTCGCGTGTGTGCTGCCGACTCTTAGGTTAGATCAGATTGGAAAAGAAAGAACTGGAGGAAGGGATCTGAGGAGCAGTGGAAGTGGGCATCTGTTAATCTGTGCTGTGTTCCAGTCACCTCCCTCATTGAAAATGAGAAGCTGGGCAACGGAGGGGACATGTATTCAGATTTGAATTGGGTGATAAGTAATAAGGGAATGGGGAGGAATCACGTGTTTGGAACATGTCCATAATGAATTCTGGTCCCACAAACCTGATGTGTAAACAGCAACAATAGGAACTGGGCATACACAGGAAGTGAATACTGAAAAACATATGTTTTTATGTATTTTTTCATGTATGCCCTTAAATAATAGCATTGTTGGCATTTTGAGTATAAAATGCCATAATGTTTAGAATATATACCTCTATTTCTTGACTGAATCGTTTATAGACCAGTTCTGATACATCATTATACCAGTGTGTATTCTTCCTTAAAGCTGCTTTTCAAGATATTCATACCAATTGCTCGCCTTAGTTCTTGAATATTTGGGAGGGGATCCCTGAATGAAATGAATTGAATGTCTTTAATTTTTTCTTTTTTAACAGAAAAAATATGCATGATCAGTTACTGTGTATTTGGTTAAGTAAGTAATATTAACAGATATACTGTATTACATCCTAGAGGAGGTTTTTATTATTGTAATATTTATTTAATGAAGTACCATGACTTCATTGTCAGGCTTAATAATGTATAATTCCTAGAAATATAAACAATAGCTACTGTCTATCAAATACAGATCCAGATTAAGTAATAGTATTCCAAACAGTCCAATCCAATATATTATATTGCATGGAAACTGTGCAGTTCATTTCACCCAAAACTGCAGTGGTCTTTGTAGACATGGTGCATTAGTAAAATATACAGTAAACCTGTCCAAGGTAAGCACTGTTTTCAATTTAATTAATCCTTTTTTCAATTTTTTAAAATATATTATTCAGTGTTGTTCACATACTTTTTTACTCATGGTACTGTACCACGTTTATGTAATTTATTGAATGCTTGTTACCATGCTTTTAAAACAAGACAGATGTTTTTGAAGATGCTGAATTACTCTTTTTTTCAAGTTAAGAATGAACATTTCCACTTTTAAAACTTTAATTGTATGTTTATAGTTTTTTTTTCTTACATTTATGTTTCAAAAGTATTTTGTTCATCTATCCTGTACATATGTACAAAGCGAAAACACTGAACATCCCTGATGCTAGTGATGGCGAAAAAACATCATTCATGTAGTTTTTGTTATAAAAACAATTAATCTCATACTCTTTTGTTATTTATTCAAACATATGATGTTCAGAAGGTAATCTCATTTTAAAAATACAAATTAATATAGCCTAAAGTTTCTCAATATCTGTGAGAAATAATGACCAATAATTTTATACGCCATTCTTTGTAGCATTATTTTCCAAAGGCTGGTCACCCTAACATTCTTTTTGGTCTCTGATGCTAAGTTCCTTGATTTTCCTCCCAAGCTAATTTGGCTTTCAGACAATGGCTAGAGCTCCACTACACAGTCAAATGGCACTTTCCAACTAATGCCTCACAGATTGCTTTCTTGTTATTCTTTGTACTCTCCTCTGTCACCTCCCTCCATCTGTCTGGCCAGCTGCTTGAAAAGCAAGGGGTAAAAAGATGCACGTCCCGGTTTTATGCAAGTCTCTCTGTTGTTGTTCCATTCTAAACAGGAGCCAGAAACAATAATAGTTGCCTATTAGCTAGAAATATTCTTCAAATGATTTTGTTGTAATTATGCCATAAGTATTGCTGCATATTCCTAACTGGATTAACCTACTTGTCACTTAACTTATTGATTGGCTATCACCAGTGTTAATTTACTGCATAGTTAATTCTCCATTTATTTGCTCAAACACTGTATCAGTATTATATGTTCTCAAAATTCACATGGACAAAATGTATTTATCTGTTCTCAAGTAAAACTGTTCACAGCAAGAAGCACACAGGGCATAAGAAGCAAAAGTAACATAATCAAGCTTTTAATTAAGTGGAGCTTTGGGGAGTTTCCCTAATCTCTTAGGGAGCATAGCTAGCATGATTTAAAGTCACTTCAGAAAATCCAGGACAATCTGACAGCCCTTTACTCTGCATGTAAAATGTGATACTTAAGGTACCAAAATGGCACATTATTAAAAAAAAATCCAGACTCTTATCTTAAGTAATAATTAGTATTCATGCATGAGACTAAGTAAATGACATAAGCAGACATTTTCTAACACATGGAAGTATTAATCTGGGCTCTATGTAGTCCCTTACATTATACATTGCTTATTCTCATGTTTCTTTCTTTTTCTTACCACTAAAGATTCCAATTTAGGAAAAAGGGTGAAATCTGTATGCATTTTGATCAAAGAAATACCTTAGGTTTAGCATGGTAGTGTAATTAACAAATATCTTGGAAAAATTACGTCGGAGGTGAAGCAGTTTATTTTATTGCGTTGAAATGCATTTATTTCTGAAAACTGGCACCAAACAGTTTTTTTCTTGCTGCTAAATGCTGTTCACAGTCATCGGCTTTGGTCCTTGCACACAATTAGCTTCAAAGAGCAATCTGTAATAAATATTATCCAGTAGAAAGAGACTTTTTCAAAAAGATACGTAATATTTTGGAATTAAATAAACACAGATTTTGCCCTGCAATTATTTTTACGTGGATCATGATGTAAATATGAATTTCAATATTCACTTTCTTTATGTACTCAATTAGTATTGCTCTTTATACCTTCCACAAATACTGTTTTCTGGGACAGCTACCAGATTAATTACTGCCACATTTTCAACCTTTAATTCTTCCCTATTCGCCCTTAATACCTATTTAAATCTGACTGCATGGCCTTTAACATTGACCAGTTTCACGGAGTGTCTGGATTAGCACACAGAATACAATAACAGATGCCCGTTACCACTGCTGGTTAAATCCCTTCTTCCAGTTTCAGTCTTTTTTCCAATCTGATCTAACCTAAGAACCGGCAACAGGCGAGCTCCAGTCTGTTCAGCACGCTAAGCAACTCCTTCAACCTCCCAGATAAGGTGGCCAATTAGGGTGAGAGCGAAGTCTCTACTCCTTGTCTCCCCATTCCTTTTCTACCTCGTGCCTTGATTCTAGTCCATTTTCTACATCCCAGACAAATTTCTGTGTCAAGCAATAATAAGAATCTGGCAAGAAAGCCAGATTTCCTCATACATGGTCTGCAATTCCATCTCTTGCAGGGATGTCATGCAGCTGGGGTTCAGTAAACCATAAACAGTAAACCCAGCTTCACTCATCTTCTGCCTCCTCTTCTCTTTCTAACTTGTGCCTACCAGGCTTTACATTTGCTAGAGTCTGAGGAAGGCACAGTTTTCTTTTCATTTCACACCATCCTGCTTTCCTTGTTTGGGCTGACATCCTGCTGTGTCTTTTATGAG